TCTCTCTCTCTCTCTCTCTCTCCCTCAGCGCATCAAAACTCAGTGCTCCAATTTTCATGAAAGTAGTGAAAGGAAACGGCTATCTATCTTGGCAATATCTTCTAATCTTATTTTCTGATGGAACAGTCCGACAACCGAGAGAGAGAAAAATCTCAAAACTGTTATGAAGCGGCTCCATTTTAATTTTTTATCACTTGGAAAGATTATAGATCAATTGTAGAAAACGTTCCAAATTCGTTTCGTGGATAGGTGCAAATGTATCCATAGCATAACGAGTTCCCGTTCATTATTCCTCTCTAATATATATTCAGAACATGGAATCGGATGTTCGAAGAACGATAAGTTTACGAGATAAATAATATTCTGAAAGGAATAGTGTAACGGAGAAGTGTAATGGGCACCTTGAAACAGAAATCTCGACTCGCATATAACTTAAAGCAATGCGAGATGTTTTCAGAATATTCAATCCCGTGTAGAGCTAATGGAAGCTGCGAAGGATCATTTAAATACTCTTCTATTATTTACGCAACGAAAAATTCACCGTTAATATTTCGAAGTTCCTTCGAAATATTGCTCTCCCAATCAAACGAAATCGTACGTGAATAAATTTGCAACCGTATTAACTCTACAGATGGATAAGTAGTTTCTTTAAATATCTTTTATACGAAATATTACCAAGCTGGTTCGTTCAAGTTACTTGATACATATCTACTTATAATTAACATCTCTTGATCCATGATTTTTCTTGCACAAAGAAATCCTAATCTCCTCCTAATCATCTCTAACATTTGTAATCCCACTACATCCTATTTTATCGCAAAAGGCAGGATTATCGTGTAAAAAGAAAAAAAAAATCGCAAAAGATTCTAATATTTGTAATCTATGCCACTACATCCTATTCTACCGCAAAAAGAAGAAAAAAAACAAATCACAAAAGACACTTACAACGTTCTCGACGTGAGGCTGAAGAAGTGCCATCGGCTGCATTTTTGGCAAATGATAAGGCTTGACAGTCTGTTTCCACGGCGAATCTATCACCCTGTTTGCCACTTGTCTCCTCGGCGATCTCCAGACGAAACAACTCTCACGACACGTCAAATCTTCGCCGAAATCCGCCCTTTCGCAGGATCTAGTAGATTCCGATATGGGCGCGGTTCTAATCTGAGCGGGGCCGATCCGAGAACGAATCACGCTAAGACGATCCTCGGCAATCTTCCCTTGCTCCAAATTACAATCACCATACGTGGATAAATCGTGTCCCAGAGCGTCTTCTTCGTCCCCGATTCGGGGACTTCGACCACTTCTCATCCTCGCCTCGGGCTGTTCCGATCCACCATCGCGAGGAGGATCGTAAGTCGTCCCCGTCGAGAAGGACAACAACTCGCCGCGCTGTCGAAAAGCCTTCTCCGAAAAATCACAGCCGTTAAAATGATTTTCCCAGTGGCGATTCCCAGTCGGGACGTCGCCAACCCTATCGATCCTCGCCACCACGGAGATGGGACGATACCGCGCGACGTCCGGCTGACTCGTCCTCCCCTTATCCTTATCCGAATGCTGATCTACACCGTGAACCGTCTTTTCCCGCGCGACGCTCGCGAAAGGAGGAGGAACGGGCCAGTACGAGGTTGTAGAGCAATATTTACTTGGCCCGTATCTCGATCCGGCAAAGTTCATCGATTCAGGAAGCGGTCCGATTTCTCTCGCGGCTTCCAAGGACTCGATCGCCGGATAGGATTCCCGTTTGGCCGCGGGATCTTCATCTTGATTTATAGAACGGGGACGGTGCAACCAACGGTCGCAGCACGGATACTGATCGCACCGAAGGTACTTGGGGTTGATCTTCA